ACTCAATGCGAGGGTTAATTAAGTGATTGATGGTTGTTCAGATCTATGCAATTGCACATATTGCTGTAAACTTGGGATTTCACATTTTCATTCTCTTAAACTAATTATTTCCTCACTTTCTCTCTTTCTGCAACTTGTGTGAATGCGTGTGTTCATGTGTTAGATTAGTTTATATGTCTTAGATTTATCCAATAAAGCCTTTATATTGAAAAGAGAAGTATCTCGTGTTTTGTGCTCACAAGTTAATGTCTTAAACTGCCGATCTTGTTACTGTGCTAATTAATAGTGTTTGCACTATATTTTGGATATAGATATCCATTGCAGAATTGATGTCATACGGCTCGTTCACTGAATCGCTGGCCATCTCAGTGATCAGCCGTAAAACAGTGATTCTGTCCAAATTCCCTTACATATTATTGGTGGAGTTTCCTTTAAAATCTTAAATGATTCCCTTTGAGCTAAATGATCACTGTTTCCCTTACACTTATTTTGTGGCATTTTCAAAGGTAAATGTCCAGTGAGTGGTGGTACAATGTCCGTTCAATACATGGCCATGTTTTTGTTACATTGCGGCACGTATTGCTGTGGATCAGAATTCAAATGTCCAGTGTCACTAAAAGTTTAATGCTCTATCGTGTTGGAAAATAACAAACCCCCTACACCAGGCCCAACCTTAAATCTACCTGATATTGTTAACGAAAGCAAAAGTGATACAAAAATGCATTTGCTGATGCAACCATGCTATTTTAACTTACGCAGGATTGAGCAGTTTTGTCGAACCGTTATTTCATAGGATTCATACCGGAGCGCTTCACCTCACAATGCCATTATCGCGTGAGCTACCGAGCAAACCTACTGTATCAGAAAACCCAGACATATATAGCTGTACATGCGATGCTAATGTTCAGAAGTATAAGTTTTCAATTCTCACAGCTTGTTAAAATTGTTTTGAGGCCATAATAAAATGTTGTGCATTTTTTTTACATTTGTGTACATTTTGGGGGTTTTGCAGAAATGTCGCCACAAGCACAAATATTAATGAATATATATATATATATATATAGAGAGAGAGAGAGAGAGATAATAGACAGATAGATAGATAGATAGATATATTCCATGTGTGTTTTCACTTTTGCAGCAACTGCTGACGTAATACAGGATCCTTCCATTCATAATGTGTATTGTGTACAGTTATCCTTTGTTTCAGTCATGTCTAAGCACAACGTACATGATGTTCTGTGTTCTAAATTCAGCAGCTGCAACCTGAGCACATTCAACTATCAAAAGTAGAAACACGAGTGTATTTTGAATTAAGATTTCGGATTACCCTCCTTTACACTGTTTGACTATTGCCTGTTCCTGAATCCTGTTTCATTCCATTTCACTCTGTTTGCCTCCTGCAGTACAACTCTAACCCCCTAATCCCATTAGATTGTTAAAGTGACACACTGTTAAAGTTAAACGCTCTCCAGAGCCTGTGAGCTTTTAAGATATTTTAAGGCCCCCGTCTTTAGGATTTAGCTCAGATGACTCGAGCTTTGTTTTATTTTGAGTCTTACTTTTTCAGCCTGCTTCTGTTTGCAGGGCTAAACGGATGGTTCACTCAAAAATGAATTCTGTCATGACATGAGGCTGAGAAAATTATGAAAGTGTTTTCATTTTTGAGTGAACTATCTCTTTAAGTGTGTTATTAGCCACTGACCTTCATGCAACATTTATCCCTGATTTCTTTGTGAAACAAGGTTGGCAATAAACTAGTTTTGAATGAGTCATGTATGATAATGATGTTATTCATTTATTATAATTATTAATAATATGCGATTTATTACAAGTCAGACCAAACCTGCATTGTACAAAATACTGGTCACACTTTATTTTAAGGTCCAGTTCTTGCTATTAATTAACTATTAACTATGACTTTGGCCTCAATAAACTCCTAATTACTGCTTAGATAGGTAGTTGTTAAGGTTAGGTATTGGGTAGGATTAAGGATGTAGAATATGGCCATGCAGAATATGCGCTTTATAAAGCATGTTGTTACGGGGCTGACGAGACGTGAGACTTGCGGATCCATG